AAGGGCAGTTTTTGGGGGGGTTGGGGAGGGGTGGCTGGATCAGATCTGAACCAGGGCGTCAAGAACAAGAGGGTCCAAGGCTGCAGTCCCTCTTCAACCCATTGCCACGGCGAAGGAGCAGGCACTGTGATGCAGCCTGATCCAAACCAGCCACCACCTCCCCCGGCAAAGCATCCCTTGCACACAAAAGCTCACCAGTGGGAGCCTTTTCCACACAGCTCAACCTCAAGTAACATAAAGTTTCAAGGACTGTAAGGAGTTTTACCTCCTGTTATCTCCTCCGGAGTCACAGCCAGCTCTGGGCCAGGCTGGGAGCTGGGACGTTGCTTCCCAGGGCTCGGTGCCTGCCCTGCTCCTGGTTACACCTCCAAGCACAACCCACCGCTCACAAACTCCACATGTTCCCACCTCAGGGCTGCTCCCTGATCAAGAGGAAAAGGCCAGAGTTAACCCCCCCCCCATCTGCTCCCTCCCAGTCTGACTTGAAGCTGGAGATAAAGCTGAGTTTGTCCCAGGCCACCTGCTGCTCCCTGGCTGGTGGCAGCTCCCCTGTGAGGGAGAAGAGACCTTGAAACCAGGGTGAGAGACACTCGGTTCCTCTGGTGGCAGAACTCAACAGGCCTCAGCTGATTTTTTTTATATATAACACTTGGTAAAATTTATCCTCACAGGCTTAAGTGAGAAAGAGCCCAGGAGGTGGTGAGACAAGAGCTCTCCCTGGAAAATGCTCCAGACGGGGCAGGACAGGAGAGACAGAGCTACTGTATGCAGGGAGCTCTGGAGGTGACCACACCATCACCACGGAGGAGATCCCTCTGCTGTGCACGTACATGGACAGGAAGGAGCCAGGCACTGGGAGCAGTACACGAATGGGACATACACAGAATCACAGAATCTTCTAGGTTGGAAGGGACCTTAAAGATCATCTTGTCGCACACGAATGGGACATACATACACAGAATCACAGAATCTTCTAGGTTGGAAGGGACCTTAAAGATCATCTTTTCCAACCGTCAACCTAATTTTGACAAAAATAGACACCCACACAACAAACAAAAAGCCACACCATCACTAAACTGTATCTCCCAGCACTACATCAGCCCGTCTTTTGAACACCTCCAGGGATGGTGCCTCAACCAAAGGGCTCCAGGCATTGAACACCTCTCAGGGCACCAGACAGCAGGGCAATCCAGCGAGAGCAGTTCCCTCAGCTCCTCCATATCACTGCAGCCCTCTGCCTGGGGCACAGAGAGAAGCTTTGCCCATGAACCCCTCATGGCTACGAGATCCTCAGCGGCTGCTGCAAACACATGGGCAAAGTGGACCCTCAACGCAGCCAAACCTGAGTCCCAGCCCCAGGAGACTGTGATTCACAGCCACTGCACGGGCACTAAGCAACAGCAGCTCAGCCCTGACTGTGTCCCCCCTGCAGACACCACCCTCCCCATCTCCGGCAGGACAGCGGGGCCTTCCAAGGTGCATCTCAGCGCTGGGAAGGGGCAGGAGCCAGCATCAGGCTGCAGCTGAGAGCGTGTGCCCCACAGGCCACATCTGCCAGTGTCCCACTGCTTCTTCTGGCTCACCTTCTTATTCCTGAAGGCTCAGCACCAATCTCCTTGCAGACACAGCCCAGTCTGGCCTGGCATTCTCCAGTCTTGGATGGGGCTGGATGGACTGGGAAGTTCTCGAGGCAGTCGCACCAGCTGCCTAGACAGGTAGAAATAAAACGCTGAGGGACTGCACGCAGAGGAGAACTAACACAAATGTCTCTGCTTCAAAATGCGAGCGTTTCCCAGGGCTGAATGTTTCTTTCAAGCAAATCTTTCGTGAGCTCCATGAGAACGGAAAAGCTTAGCACAAGGAAAGGCAGGCCTGGCCTGCCCAGTTCCCCTCCGAGGAAAGCAGCACCCTGTCCCCCGAGGTGAAAGGCAGGAGCCTGCATATAACCCCAGAGACCTCCTGCTGTTCTCAGATATGGCTGCTCCCACAAGTTCCCTCCTTTCAAACCACCGTGCTTTGTTTCAGGGTGGAGAAGGGCAGTTTGGGATGAGCCCTCCCTCCCCTGCCGTGTTGAGCCAGCAGAGCTGGAGGGCACTTGGTCTAGGTCTGGCTCGGAGGTCTCTATCACCCGAGTTAGGGAAAAGAGGTGCTTAAGAAGACCTTCCAGCTCTACCAACACCAACACCTCTTCCCCCTCATCAGTCTTCACCGTGGGGCCATCCTGAAGAAGATGAAATCACTTCCAACACAAGCAGGGGTCCAGCAAGTCTCCACCTGGGCAGGGCCCACACTGTAAGAGGCACCAACACTCGCAAGGCGATGTCCATACGACGCTGGCGGAAGCCCGTGGCTGAACTGAAAGGTAAAAATCCTCCCCAGGAATGTGCGCAAACACCCTGGTGAGGAAGTTGGTGACAACTGCAGAAGTCGCTAACTAAGAGGAAAGGACACAAAATGGCCTTGTCTGCACCTCACGCTGTTAGATAACCACATTATCTGCACTTGCACTATCTGTAGCCCATTATATGACCACAATGTTTTATCCAGCAACAGCAGAAATAGAGTTCTGCCTCCCCCTGAAATTCCTGGGGGTGAGGAGGAGAACAGCCTGCCTCAGCCTCCACCCCTTCACACCAAATTCCACAACGCAACAGATAACAGAATTTATCCCACAAAGAGTTTTTTACCGGCAGAATAATAAGCAAAAAGTAGTGCCTGACAGATGCTAAAAAAGAGAGCAATTCAAGATAAAACGCTTATGGCTCTAATTACACATGCACGGTGATGAGCTGCTGCTTGGATTCAAGCTGCTGGCAACCAGGACGCAGCATCTCACCTGTCACACCAGCCACTCTGCCCCTGACAGAAAAAGCCACCTCATTTTCTGCCTGCAAAGCTCTGCAGAGTGACCTACTTTAGCAAAGCCTTTGATACAGTCTCCTACAGTATCCTCCTGGAGAAACTGGCTGCCCATGGCTTGGATGGGAGGACTCTCCTCTGGGTTAAAAATTGGCTGGAGACCAGGCCCAGAGAGTGGTGGGGAATGGAGTCAAATCCAGTTGGCGGCCGGTCACGAGTGGTGTCCCCCAGGGCTCGATACTGGGACCCGTTCTCTTTAACATCTTTATCAATGATCTGGACGAGGGGATCGAGTGCACCCTCAGTAAGTTCGCAGACAACACGAAGTTGGGTGACAGTGTTGATCTGCTGGAGGGTAGAGAGGCTTTGCAGAGGGATCTGGACAGGCTGGATGGATGGGCTGAGGCCAATGGGATGAGGTTCAACAAGGCCAAGTGCCGGGTCCTGCCCTTGGGTCCCACCAACCCCCTGCAGTGCTCCAGGCTGGGGGCAGAGTGGCTGGAGCTGCCTGGCAGAAAAGGACCTGGGGGTGTTGGTCACCTGATGGCTGAACAGGAGCCAGCAGTGTGCCCAGGTGGCCAAGAAGGCCACCAGCATCCTGGCCTGTATCAGGAACAGTGTGGGGAGTAGGACTTGAGAGGTGATCATCCCCCTGTACTCGGCACTGGTGAGACCCCACCTCGAGTACTGTGTCCAGTTTTGGGGCTCCTCACCACAAAAAAGACATTGAGGGGCTGGAGTGGATCCAGAGAAGAGCAACAAAGATGGTGAGGGGTCTGGAGAGTAAGTCTCCTGAGGAGAGGCTGAGGGAGCTGGGGGTGTTCAGCCTGGAGAAGAGGAGGCTGAGGGGAGACCTTCTCGTTCTCTCCAACTCCCTGAAAGGAGGGTGTAGAGAGATGGGGGTTGGTCTTGTCTCCCAGGTCACAGGTGACAGGACGAGAGGAAATGGCCTCAAGTTACGCCAGGGGACGTTCAGGCTGGATATTAGGAAAAATGTTTCCACTTAAAGGGTTCTGAAGCCTTGGAATGGGCTGCCCAGGGAGGTGGTTGAGGCCCCATCCCTGGAGGTGTTCAAAAGACGGGCTGTTGTAGCACTGGGAGATACGGTTTAGTGATGGTGTTACTTTTTGTTTGTTGTGTGGGTGTCTATTTTTGTCAGTGAGGTTGACGGTTGGACAAGATGATCTTTAAGGTCCCTTCCAACCTAGAAGATTCTGTGATTCTGTGATTCCCAGGCCCCGCCATTCCCCGGGGCCAGCAGGAGGCGCTGTCTCCCCATTCCCATGGCAACGGGCCGGGCCCGGCGCCTCCCTCTAACGGGCCCCGCCGGCTCCCGGGTCCCGGCACCATCGTTCCGCCGGGGGGCGGGTGTCGGGGGGCGGGACGGGGGCGCGGCCCCTTTAAGAGCGGCGCCGCCATGATCTGTCTGGTGCTGGGCATCTTCGCCGGCCTCTTCCAGAGCGGTACGGGACGGGCCCCCCGGGACCACGACCGGGAGCCCCTTTTATCCCCGGGGCCGGGCCGGGCTGGGCTGGGTCCTGTCCCCGCTGCCCCTGGGGCTGGGCCGGGATCCCCCTCCCTCTGTGCTCCCCCCGGGACTGGGCTGGGACCTCCCTGTGCCTCCCCCCCGGCTTCCCCCCTTTCCCCCCCCGGGTGCGGGTACCCCCGGATTCCCCCGTGCCCCCCCGG